GGGAGGGGGGAGTTTACCTTAAAGAGAATTAGGTTCCAAGAAAAGAGTGCTTGTATTGGCGGCAGAGTCACTGACCTAGAACAAGTATGCAGCAAGTGAAGTCCAATCTACTGATCTGCATACTTTGTGCCTTTTGAGTAATGTAAACCAAAGTGGGAATACAGACCTGCTGTATGAAAAAGGAGGCTGAGACAACACAGGAGTGTTCGGCCCCTTTCACACGGGCTGATCTGGACACGGATCCCCTCCTGATCGGAGCAGTGTGGATCAGATGTCACCGCATGACATCAGTGTCCATCCAGTTTTTTCCTCCATCCTGCGGAGTTGGGGGGAAACTGGGTGCAAACGAACACCCGTCCATTTACACCTGACAGCCCATAGACTAGCATCGGGCATCTGATCGGGTCTGCTTGAAAAACTGACAGGCGGACCCATTCGGACTGCCAGTAAAGGGCCTTACTAGGAAGTTCATTGTTAGCGCACAGCTGTAGTTGTAATATTACAGTTCACCAGCTGGTGGAGCTTCTCACATACAGAACTGGACCAATAACAATGCTGGAGATTTCAGTGCAGCAGGGACAGGAAATCACAAATCACTGGATTTCCTGGCAGGATCAATAGCCATTTTTTCTACTTCTTGAACAGATATAACATAACACTTTTTTTCCAAACACTTTAAAGCAGAACTTAGCCAAAAATAACAAGATACAAATGAACAGCTCATTTAAAGATCAAATAAAAAAGCAGCTTTTGTTGCACTATTCCCTTTTGATCTGGATCTCTCCCCGCAGTACTTCTTTTCCACCACTAGATGCCCTCACTCTGATGGCCAGCATCATTCAATCTATTTCCCCTAAGCCCAGCCTTTCCTGGACTAGACAGTAAAAGGAGGAGCAGCACGGTGATGAGCTCATCACTCTGCTTTCTCCTCCTATCAGAATGCTCCTTGCACTGCTTCTTGTGGCTGCTATCAAGTCCAATTTAGGTATTTAGGTATTCACGCTGTTACATTGAAAAAAATACATTTAATAATGTATTATTGATTACAGAACTGCATTGATTTATGCCCATTTTATTTAGCTTTATGTTGAGCATTAAGTCATTATACTGTAATATCATTAAAAGGCTTTACCTCACTGGCCACTTTAAAAGCTTGGTCATAAAAATTTGTTTCAAGTAGTCCAAAAGAGTACATGCCTCTCACATAACTGGAGGAAAGAGAGAGAAGGAGATTACGTTACAATTCACTCGGCTACTTCTGTTCAGCATCAAACAGGCCTGCCTGCCTTTAGTACAATGGCAGACTGACATGTCATACTTCAAGGCCCAGCCATAAATGTTTTACACATCACAGCATGTTAATCCACTGACAGCCTGCACATAAAGCACAGTGAAGCTTGGCCTGCAGCGCTAGTTAACGGGTTCAAATGTGAAAATCTCCCCAATTAAAGGGGAGTTAAGTTCTTATAACTGTCTGCGCTGTAAAGGGGGGTTTATAGTAGAAATGTGAATTCACGAAGATAACCATGAGCAGTGTGGGACATCGCAATAACTAGAAGCAAGCAGCTGACACACACACACACAAAAGAATGACTACTAAACGGCTTCCTCCTCTTCTAATGTACACATTTTGGGTAAAGCCCAATGCCAGCACTCCCGCCACCTGCACCGCTGGCACAGGAAGTAGGTTGAATGACACCATTTAGCGGTGGAGAAGACCTTTCGTGGAGGTTGGCTCCAGAGATTGCAATTGAAGCTTATTTTTCGATTTTCAAATGTATCTGGGCAATTATTTTATTTTTAAAACTGTAGTGGGGCTTTAAAGGGTATGTAGAGCTGTACATTCCCTTGTTTCATTTTAGCCGGGTCCAGCAAAGGAGAACTCAGGCAGGGCTGACCACACTGCTTGGGATTTCAGTGTAGCAGAGGCACCGTGTTGTTAGCTCAAACAGTTAGGAACTCGTTAGGTTTCTGGCAGATTAACTTTTTCTGCACTTGCAACATTTTCAAAAGGGACAAAACATTGGCAAATGTCCGTGGCATCACAAGCGGGGTGCGGCCCGCACCCGGGTGCCACCATGAGGGGTGACACCAAAATGACTGACAGTCATTTTGGTGTCACCCCTTATGAAAAAGTCGGGCACACGGTCATTGACCGAGAGCCCGACAGTCTCAGCAGAGGACCTAGCGACATACCTCATCCCGCCAGGTGAACGTCCCCTCCTCTCTCTGACAGCATCCATCACCAAGATGGTCGCCAGCAGGCCTCAATAATATGGCCGCGCATGCGCGATGAGGTCACGGTGGGGTGTCACCCAGTCTCCGCTCTGGGTTACACCCGGCCTCGGGAAGCCCCTGGCAAATGTGCATACATTAAAGATATGTACTCATTTATTTATTTATTTGCCCTGACATACAGTTTGTGGTGTTTTTTATAAATACTTTGCAGAGCCATTCGCCCTGTGAATATGCATGTACATTCATTCTGTGTGAATGGAGGTAAAAAACTAATGTTATTAGTATATTTTCTTTCCAGGGGGAATGCAATACCAGGAAAATACGCAATATTGCCACTAGATGGAGCGGAGGAGCATAGGACATGAATACTTTTTTTCCCTATGCTCTTCAGCTCCATCTAGTGGCCATAATGCCCTATTTTACTGATATATTCAACCTGGAGAGAATATGATAATAACATTTGTTTCTCCCTCCATCAGCACAAAACAAATGTACATGCAGTTTCAGAGGACGAATGGCTCTGCAAAATGTTTATAAATACGCCGCTTTGTGTACTCACCTAGTTAGAGGGTTTTTTGGAGTCCAGAACGGAAGAACCCGGGCAACAGAATCTCTCATTTGCGTTTGCTGCCCGAGGTAAAAGTATGCGTCATGGGCAAATTTCAGTGCCAGCAGGTCCAGGGGATGATTCTGCAGGATCTCTTCCCAGAGTGCAGTAGCCTTCACAAGGTTTCTAACAAAAAAAGGATGTCACAAAGAGTTTAACCAAGATTCTCATTTTAATTCATTACAAAAAGTTAGCTACTGAAAATAAAAACTAGCCTGTTAGCCTGGAAAAAAATAATGCAGCCACCACATCTAAGCACTGGTAAGTTGTAATACATAACATTTCCATTCTTGGGATTATAGACACTTCGTGTTACAAACAATAGCAGTTCTATACGGTATACATAACTGAAGGGCAGCAACTAAAGGGAAGGCCGCTACATACCCCTTCGCAAAGGTTTCAAGTGCGGCTACGTATGACTGTTCTCGTTCTGTCAAGGACTGTGTCTTGGCCAGATCAGACATGGTCTTCAAATCATCTTGCAGCTCCTTATCTAATACTGGTGAACGTCCTGTGCCGACCAGTTCCAAACCATTGGAAAGCACATGTCCCATCACTAGGAAAAGAAGAAAATAATGAGAACTGTCAGGTATATGAAATCCACATAGAGTCTGCATCATGCATGCAACAGATTTCTGAGTACCTCCTGGGTATAAAATACTATTAAAAATAAATAAGGGAGGTTAAAAAAAGTAGATGAGATGCGTTTTTAGTGTCTTCAAACCCTAAATCTATTTATCAGTATGTTTATCATCATGTCTCACTGTATACAGTTTTCTTAAAGGAGAATGATGTAGGAGCCACTGCGTGTTTATGAATACCCTCGCAGACACAGCAGCTCCGTCCCCGCAGTGTCATTCCTGCCTCCCATCCATGCTGCTGGTTGCGACATACACATAACACATGGGGAATAATGTAGGTGCACCACCTCTGTCCCCGCCTCCCCTCTATGCTGCTGTCTCGGGACATACACATAGGAGATCTGCAGCAGGGCTTCAGCAACCGATCTTACCTTGTCCAGTTACTGAAGTAATGCTGCAGATCTCCTTTGTGTTATTTCTGATGTGTTATGTGTATGTCATGAGACAGTAGCGTGGAGGGGAGGTTGGGGACAGGGGACGGAGCTGAGAGGACAGAGCTGTCTTATTCCTGATATGTGTATGTCCCAATACAGCAGCGTGGACGGGAGGCGGGAATGGAACTTGCTGCATCTGCGCGGGTATTCATGAACGCAGAGCGGCTCCCACAAGCCTCTGTCACTCAATGGGAGAAGAGAAGAATAGGTAGAATCCCAAAAATATTGTCGGGATCACTTCTTAGCACAAAGCTTAGCCCCGCCCACAGTATATTATATTGAAATGTGAGCTTATGGTGGATTTTTGATTACAGTAGTACATTGTAAAATGTACTGCTGTATCATTAGGAAACTAAAAATGCCAAATAAGGTGTACCCCATAGTTCTCTTTTAAAGTAGAACTGAAGCCAAAACCTTTTTTTTTTTTTTAGTTTTGGATAGAGGAAGGGAGTTACAACCCCTGTCAGCTTTTTTTGCCATCTGTGTCCAATTGGGGAGATTTCCCTTTGTTTCATGTCTGATAGCCACAAAAGGAAGTGA